CATCCATTGTTCCAGTCCCAGCCAATCACTGCAGACAAAAACAAAAGTACTCGTGGCCCTCCGGGAGTTCTCGCTCTAAAGGAAATGTGGGTGTGGCCATATGATTTAAGAATATTGTGGAGCTCTCTGGGGGTGGAGTGCCCTGTTTCCTGGGAGATGATACCATTCCCTGAAAGCCAGAGGTAGCCTGGATCTTCCAAATATTCCAGGTCATTAATCTCTTCTCAGTGACTTCCTGAAGGTGTCCATGCCAGCCTGGATCTAAGACTGGGCTTAGGCCCTGGGAGTCTGGTTCTCTATCGATAACCTGTAAATAATTCCTGAGATCAAGCTTCTAGAGAGGAGACTGATGGAAGGTAGTCTGTGAGAGGCAGGCACTAGCAGTTGGGGATGGAGGAAGAAAACCAGGGCAGGCCCGCAGAAGGGAGGACTTGAGCGCCATCTTGAAGGAAGCTAAGGCCTAGGGGAGGAGGGGAGAGCCTTCCAGGCTGGAGCACACTGGGGGGTTGTTTTCTTTTGGAGGAGGGTGGGGAAGGGGCGGAAAGGCCAGTGAGTAGAGGATGTGCCTAGAAGGGGGCATAATCTAAGAAGAGTAGAGGTCTGCAGCACATGTGTATTCGATCTCTTGGCCCTCATTTTCCAATCACTGGAATTGGGGGATTGGATTAGATGACACAATGTCGCATTTGTACTGGGCATATGGTTTCTGTGACAAAGGCCATCTTATTATCAGGAGAGTCAAGTAACTTGCTCAGAATGAACATAACAATGTCTTGGTTGAGTTTTAACTTAGGTTTTCTTTTCAGCTGGGCAAGTTGATGGAAAAGTAGTTACAGCCCCTGACGTGAAAGGCTCATGTTCCCCGAGCTCAAATCTGGACTTAGACATTTACTAGCTGTCCTGGGCAAGTCACTTACTTGCCTGTTTACCTCAGTTTCCTCATCTGCAAAATGAGCCAGAGAAGAAAATGGCAAACCCCTCCAGTGTCTTTACCCAGAAATCCGAAAATGGTGGTTTTTACCACTCAGTCCATTGAATTGCTCCGTCAAAATATGAAATGCCCACATCTCCCCCATCTTTAAAAGCACTTCACTTAACCCTGTCATCAGGAAGCTGTCCTCTTTGCTTCTTTTCACAGGTAAATTCTTAAACAAAAAGCAACGTCTTTGAGAGACAGCTAGGTAGTGCAGTGAGTATGGCAGTGCCTTAGAGCCAGAAGGATCTGAGTTCAAATATGACCTCAGACACTACTTTTGACCAGGAGCCAGTCACTGAACCCTTATTTGCCTCCAAAAAAGTAAAAGAACAACTCCCAGCATTCCATTGTCTCTTCTTTCCCCACCCCCGCTCCCTTCTCCACCTCCTCAAACCATTCAGGCAGCTAAAAGCAATGGTCTCCTCATTTCCAAAGACCCTCGGCTGGGGCCCAGCCCAGCCCCTCTGTAGCCCCTTCATTGGCTTTTCCTGACTCCCCTGTAGCCATGGTGATCGTCAGCCATGGCTACCTGTTGGATAAAGAAGTGTTGAGGTTTAGCTTGGGGATTCTCTCCTGTCCTGGTTCTCCTCCTGCCTGTTGGGCTGATAACCGAGGGATCCATGCCCTTAGTAAGTCCTTCCTCTGATATGACCTGGTCTCCTTTTCTCCTTGCACACCTCCTTCCCCATGGGGCTAACTCTCCCTCAGTCCTGGGCCTGCTTTCTCATAGCTAACTCTCCGGCCTCTCCATGAAGGGAACTAGCTGGGTGGTGCAGTGGGCAGTGCTGAACCTTAGTCAGCTAGACCTGAATTCAAATCCTGCCTTGGATACCTGTCAGCTGTGTCAGGTCACTTGCTCTCTGCCTCAGTTTCCTCTTCTGTATGTTCAAGACACTGTATTGGGTGCATTGGGGTGCAAAGAAGAAACAATGACTCACCTTAAGCAAGTTGAGGTTAGTGTTGGGGAATTCCTCAGCGGGGAGGTCCCAGAACCTCCTGGAGAGAAGTAAGTGCACTGCCCAGCGGCCAACCAATGGAATCCTCTGAGCAGCCTTTGGGGGGAGGGGCCATTATTCTCCCCACTTTATAACTGAGGAAAGTGAGACAGACAGGTCAAGTGAGTTGCCTAGAGTCACACAGCTAGGAGGTGTCAAAGGTGGACTCAGTTCTTCCTGACTCGAGCCCCAGGCCTCTCTCACCTGTTCTACCTACCTGGAATCTCTCCCAGTTGCATCAGCTTCCTGACATCAGTTACTCTGTGGGTAGCATCTCATGGGAGCAAGGGGAAATAGAGATATAAATAGGGTTTAGCCCAGCTCAAGCTGGGCAGCCATTTCCTCCTTGGGGTGGTTGGGTAATGGAGACCAGACGTCGGGTGATTTAGGTTTGGGGAGAATGTTAACCTTGGTCTCTGGTGTTGCAAAGTTTCTTCCAGTGGGGACGTTTTCTCCTATGCAGAATATCTGGTGGGGCCAGAGGGGGTAGATCTCCAGTTACTATCTTGGTAGCGCCTGCCCAGTTATTGGAAGTCTGAAAGTGATGTATTGTTATCTTCAAGTGTTACCGTTTTACTGTCTGTTTTTGCCTTCAAGTACTATCTGTACCCCTCCCCTGCACTATTTTCCTGAACCACGTTGCACTACTGGCTGCAGAAGGAATTTTCTCTTATGGGCCCAAGTAAGCAAGACCGCCCTTATAAGCTACCTCCACTCATAGGGCCTGTCCAGGAACTTCACTGGATTGACTTAACCACTTAATAGGCCTTAGGAAAAAATCTAAGCTGATGGTGATGGACCGGTCTAAAGTACAGGCCTCTCCGTATCACTTCCAGTGCCTTCCATAATATCCAGGAGCAATTGTAGATGCCTCTGTTTGCTGTTTCAAAGCTCCTCAGAACCTGGCCCCAGCTGCCTCTCCAAGGTGGACACACACAGCAACTCCTCACCCAGCCCAAGCAGCCAACCTGGCCTTTGGGCTACTCCTCCTTTGTGATGCTCCATCCCAGGCTTTGTCTCTAGGCTGGCCTTTCCCATGGTTAGAAAGCCATCCCTCTCTTGGAATCCCTGAGTTTCCTTGGAAAGCTCTAAAAAAAAAAGGCTCATAATTCTCAATGTTACCATCTAAGCTTTACCACCAAGCTAACCAAATATAGCCGTGTAGACACACACGCGCACACACACACACACACACGTGTGCGCGCACACACACACACGCACACACACTCATGTATACTCCTTTTGCCTTCCTTCTTCATGCCCAGACTTTCCCTGTCCTCTCCAATTGAGGTAATAAGAACCAAGGTGACATTGTACTCTTCTCCAGTCCCAGGTTATAGAGTGTAGATCTGTGCGCTAAAGCCTCACTCCCCAGCCCAGAAACATCCCCTCCCTGCCCTCCAATCCCCATTGCAAGATAAGGTCCCGGAGGGTGGAGACTGTCTTTTGTAAAATAAAAAAATAGCAGAAGGATCAGTAAGAATTCTGTGCACCCCCACCAGCAATGCCATACTCCATCCCTTCTCTGGCCTCCTTCCTCATTTCCTGCCATCCCTGTGCCCCAGGACCAACATGTCCTGCTTTCTGCACCTCTCCCCTTCCCACACAAACAGAAGTTCTGAGGGGTGAGGAGGGAAATGGTGGGGCTGCCCAGTGGATGGATTTCAGTTGCTTAATCAGGTAACAGCCAAACTTCTGTTGTTTGTCTTTCATTCTCGAGAAGGCCAGGATAGCAGGGAGGTGAGGCCAAGACCTCAAGAGAATCGGATTTAAGTGAGGGATGCTGTGCGAAGTCAGCAGCCTCACTTTCTCCTCTGGGTGGAACCATCTGGGTCCAATGGCCAGATCAGGAGGATTGGAGATGCTCGAGAATGCTGTGGGAGACCTTGGCCTTTCCAAGTTTGACTGAGGAATGCCCATTCAGTGATTAATAAGAAATGAGGCAGAGAATGGCCTCTTTACCTTGTCAAACAAATAAATAAAAATAAACCTCTACACTTTGGAGGCAGGCGTGAAGGTTTATATAAGTAGATGAAGTTTATAAGGTGAGCTGTAACATATGCCTTGGCACCAGGTGTCCTGATGTCCTGGCCTCAGCTCCTCATTAGGACCCAGCTGTCTTCCAGACACAGAACATCTCTTGGGAAATAGAAACAAGACAGAGGGAAATGCCCCCTCAGTGTTAGGATTGGGGTATGGAAGGTCAGGAATGGAGATGGGCCAAGGCAGGAAATGTTTCCAGTTTGGAGAGTTAAGTAAGTGTGGGCAAGTCTGGGCCCAGGCTGCAGAGAGAAAGGGGGACCTAGGGGGAGGGAATCAGGGGAGGAGAATGTAGGCTGGGCATATCCTTGTGAGGACGAAGATGAATGTAGCAGGGGGAGACCAGGAGACTCTGCTGAGAAGCGTTGGAGCCTCAGAGGAGGGTAAGGGAGGGAGGGAGAGAGGTGGTAGAGCAGTGGGGGAGGGGAGCCCAGAGATGACCAGCCTGGTGGGTGGTGGCCCTGGTGGACTTCTCTGACTGGGGTGAAGTTTGGACACCTGGGAGGAGGATAGGGGAGAAGAGGGGTCACTCTAGAAGATGGACAGCAGGGCAGGGCAGGACTCTTGGGGTTAGGAAGACCCACCCAGAGCAGGTTGGCTGGGAATAGAAGCACTAGGAGCTGAGATCTCTCTGCATTCTTCCCCCACAACAGAGATCTCTCTATGTTCCCTGGAGCTGAGATCTCTCTGCCTTGTGGGAGCCACCCTGCAGGTGCCAGGTAGGTCTGAAGGACACCCCTCCCCAGGCCCCACTTCTGCTGGCTGCCCTTTCCATTGGGCCTCATCTGCCCCCTCTTACCTCTTGGTGACTGTCCTCCAGCTTTGCCAGGAGCGGGCCTCCCTCCAAGGTCTGGCTGGGGGGTTGCACCAGCTACTTGTCCAGGCTCCCTGTCCCATCCCAAAGGTCTTCGGGTGCCACGCCCAGTTTTCCCAATGGGTCACATATGTAGATCACATGACATAGTATCAGGTAGAGGCAGAGCTCTGGGTCTGGCGCCACTGAGGCCCTGACTGGTCTCATCCCAGCTGGGATCTTTTTTTTGGGGGGGGGGCAGTTGGGGTTAAGTGACCCAGAGTCATAACAGCTAGTAAGTGTCCAGTGTTTGGTCTGAGGCCTGATTTGAACTCAGGTCCTCCTGACTTCAGGGCCTGTGCTCTATCCACTGGGCCACCTAGCTGCCCCCTCCTATCTGGGATCTCAAGGTCCTTCTGCCTCCTGGGGGGAGGGGCATGAGACCAAAGAGAAGGAACTGGAGAGGGGGCAAGTCCCCTTCTGTTCAGACCGAGCTCACTTCCCAGCCTGCACCTTCCTGCCCTCTTCCTCCTACCTAGTTGTCTCTCCCAGGAGGGCAGGTCCTGGTGCATGTGACTGCTCTGAGATGTTAAGATCTGTATTTCCAGCCAGGCCAGCATCTCCTCCACACTGAGATCCTTCTCCCTCCCCAGATCTGCTTGCAGAAGACCAAAGCCTGTTCCTAGGAGAGAACCTAGAACCAGACAGCGTGGCCCCTGGGCCCCAGAGCCCCTCATCCCAGGTGAGTGCAGTCCATCCACAGACCTGACCAGCCTCAGCAAACCTGGAAGCCAAGAGAGCCAAGGAAGCTTTATCCTGTTAGACGTAGGTTGGCCTTTGCGGTGCTCTGGGCAGAGCAGAAATTGTCCTCCTGTTTCTGCTCATGTCCTCCTGCCTCAGGCCACACCAGCCTTCCCTGGTCTCTCTGAATCCCTCTCATTGGCCATTTCTTGGGTCTCGTCCATAACCACTTAGGAAGTGGCTGCTCTGTGCCAAGCCCGATGCTTACCTACTGGAGATGCAAAGGAAAGTTTGAAGAATAACTGTCCCTGCCCTCCATGAGCTCACAGTCTAATTAGGAGAGAACATCTCATCAGCTGTGTCCACACAAGCTCTGTACAGTGTGGACCCCTGAGAGGGAAGGCTCTGGCTGTACCGGCCGCGTCGACCTTGTGTCGGCCACGCCGACCCTCTCCTCCTATAAGGAGCAGGCTGCCAGAGTCATACTCACTCTCGAGTCTTCAGTACTCAGCCGGATAAACACACAGAGACGAGCCATCGGGAGGCGCCAACACCAGAGCTTTATTCAGAGGCCATCACAGCAAGCCATCACAGCAAGCCCAAGCAGCAAGGCCAGAGCAACAGAGCAGGAGCCAGGGGAGAGCGTGATCTGACCACGCTCGTTCCTAAGTACCTACCTAGCCCCTCCTCCCCAGCCCGCTTACTAGCCAATGATTGTAGGGTCAGATACCAGAAGGGGCTGTCTGAGTTTAGCACACCAAGGAAGAGGGAGTGACGTAGGAGGCTAGGACCTGATACAGGGAGGAGGCATCTGGGATTAGCGCATAGACAGAGTACGTGACCTAGGAAGTCAGACTCAGATACTGGGAGGAGGCGTCTGGGGTCAGTGCTACACAAAGGGACCCAGGAAGTCAGGAAGGTCACAAGATGGAGGCGTCTGGGGTTGACGTTGCATATAGGGAGAGGACTAAGCAAAGGGAACTCAGTCCTCTGCTGTCCCACTCCCACGTGGCACTGCCCCTTGCCTCAGGAGCACAAGCTCCGGCTACTTCCTTGCATCCAGCTTATCTCACATAGCACTGCCCATTGCCTCAGGGCTTCTCCGTATCCAGCCCATCCCAGTTCACCACGACTCTGCCTACCACAGCCCCTGCCTCGACTTCCAAAATACCCAGATCTTACCCTAATCTTGCCACAGCGACCACCTGGTAGTTGTCAACATCAGACAGTCCCTCACATCTGGCAGCTTCAGGGACCAGGAAAAGCTTGTTTTCAGCAGGTGAGATTTTAGCTGAGAAGAGAAGGAAGCCAGGAGGCCCAGGTGAGGAGGGAGGGCATTCCAAGCATGAGAGACAGCCATTAGGAAGGCACAGGGTCAGGGATGGAGGGTGTGGTCCAGGATCAGCCAGGAGGCCAGTGTCCCTGGGTCAGAGGGAGAAGAGAACCAAGGTGAAAGAAGACTGGAAAGGGTTGAGGGGCTGGTTATGTGGCATGTACGATGTGTCAAGAGCCATATCAGTATGATCTCCTTTTATCCTGTTGTGAGAATTGTCAGGGTGCTTGCGAGGGACAACCAGACTAAGTGAGCACAGGATGCAGACAGACAGTAGACTGTGGTTCATTCATCCACTGAAGAGTGTGGCACATTCCAGGTGTGCCTGATGGACACGGGTGTCTCAGAGTTCCATAGAGGACATAGAAGGGCTCTCCTCCTGAGCTACATGACCCCTCCTTTGGTTACCACACCTGAGGTCTTGTAGGCAGGCTTACAAGGAAGTTTTAGGTGAGATTAGGTTAGAGGAGAAAGAGAAGGAAAAGTGTTTTTTGGCAAAACGGAAAAAAATATGTATTTAGAGTTAGAAAAGTCTGCTACAGAGGTCTTCAGCATATCCACTTACACTAGTCCAAAGAAAACGTTAGTTGCCTGAGGCAGGGAATTAATCAACATTGGCCAAGCCCTTTGTCCCTTCTTAGAATAACAGGGAGTAAGTGAGTCTGTGAGGTTTTTTTTAACTTCCTGTTTTTTAAATTAATTTGTTGTGATTTATTAACAATCACTTCCATAAGCTTTAGAGTTTTAAATTTTTCTCCCCCTCCCTCCCCACCTTCCTTCCCAAGATGGCTCACAATCTGATATAGGCTCTACATATACATTCTTATTAAACACATTTTCACATTAGTGATTTTGTAACGAAGAATTAGAACCAATGGGAGGAACCACCAGAAAGAAGAAACAAAAGAAAACAGAAGAAAAAAAATAGTGAATAGTATGCTTCCATCTGCATTCAAACTCCATGGTTCTTTCTTTGGATGTGGATAGCATTTTCCATCACGAGGCCTTTGGAGATGTCTTAGATCCTTGCCTTATGGAATATCAAGTTCACCCCATGGTCTTTTAATGCAGAAGCTGCATGGTTCTGCATAATCCTGACTGTGGTTCCATGATATTTATATCGTTTTCTTCTGACTACTTGCAGTATTTTCTCTTTGACCTGGTAATTTTGGAATTTGGCTACTATATTCCTTGGCTTTTTCAGTTTGGAATCTCTTTCAGGAGGTGATTGGCGGATTCTTTCTATGGCTATTTTACCCTCTGGTTCTGGGACCTCAGGGCACTTTTCTTTTATGATTTCCTGAAAGATACTGTCCGGGCTGTTTTTTTTTCATCTTAATTTTCAGGTAGACCAATAATTTTCAAATTGTCTCTCCTGGATTGATTTTCCAGGTCAGTTGTTTTACCAATGAGGTATTCTACATTTTCATCTATTTTTTCGTTCTTTTGTTTCTGTTTGACTGATTCTTGCTCTCTCATAAAGTCATTAGTTTCCATTTGCTCAATTCTAATTTTTAACAAATTGTTTTCTTCTATTAGATTTTGCACCTCCTTCCCCATTTGGCTAATTGTATTTTTTAAGGACTAGTAAAATGAGCTGGACAAGGAAATGAAAAACCACTCCAAACTTTGCCAAGAAAACTCCAGATGTGGTCCCAGTGAGAGAAATTAAGGAAGCTAAAAGTGAAATATAGATTAATAAGAAATCAGAAAGACAAGGAAGTGAAAAGAGATTTTTCTCTTCAAGAAAGGAGTTTGCTCCAAAATAATAGAACTTCTGAAAAAGTGAAAAGTCGATCTTAATCATTCTGCTAGAAATGGAAAAGTATCAAATGCCAAGTACTTTGGCCAAATCCTTGTATCAGCTATAAAAATAGATGAGCCCTCCCAAGGCTCAAAGCATTTCCAGACATGGCCACTCACTTGGATGTTATCCATCAGTCTGCCTCCTGATTCATTCTCTTGACTCCTGCTCCCAATCTTCTAGAATTCCAGCAGCATGTTTAAATCATTATTTTTCATAAACAACATGTCGGTATCTTTGTTAAACATTGATCTCTAAATCTCTGACCCTACTTGGTAAAAAAAAAATTCATTTTTAATGAATGAAGAAACCCTCTTGATCCTCTATAATTAAATATTAAAATGAATGCTATGTAAGGGTTAAAAATTACCCACCCTACAATAAAAGAAACTGAGAGAGATATCTGAGTCAATGGCACTTTATTAAGGGCTCCATGGCCTTCTCTAATGAAGTGGACTTCAGATCTTCCTCACCACATGAGATGCCCCCTTTCTCCAGGGCCTTAGTTTTATAATGCTTGATACCCAGACAATACAGGCAGAGCAGACCCCAAATACAGAGTCTTATGGGTGGATAGACCTTGCCGTTGACCCTCCGAGAGGATGTGCACAGAATGCAGAATCCCATTGGTTGACCAATGAAGTGATGAGCAGACCTTGCCAGACCTCTCTTGACCTCTCGGGAGATCCTGATCAGCACACCCATAGACTGGTGGGAAGGCAGGCCACAAGCCAGCAATCAAGGTCACTCACTGGCCAAGTGCTCATGGTCATCTTCCCATGTTGGTCAATAGAGTGATGACCAGTGACGGAGGAACAAGAAAAATAGCTGAAATACTTTCCATGTAATTGAGTCACCTCTGCTATGCTGGCCTTGGTCACCACAACAAGTAAAAACAGGGGTGGAGGTCCCCTAGTTAGCTTCCTCTGACTAAGCAAGTGTACTTACAATCTGCAGTTCCCAATTCTGGGGCCTAATAGACAGAGCTTGTTATCAGCACTCCTATGGAATAATAGCACACAGATTAATAGTGATTGGAATAAAGGAAGAGGCCAGGAAAGTAGGGCTCCAACTAAGCTTTATCACAGAACATAATTCATTAACAAGTGAAAGCAATCAGAAAGCAAAGACATAAGATGTTTGGACTGACACATCGTACTCAGTGTCACCTCAAACACTCAGTATAAGAATAGAGAAATCTTCACTTCACTGGAAACGGGCTCATTCCACTCAGTTGAGGCCAGCTTGCGAGCAGTCTCTCTTTCGAATTCTTTCCATACTTTCATCGAGTTAGGAATTCATTTCCAAATCTTAGGAAATTTAGTAGATCATTCCCTTTTTCTTCTTTCCTCAGTGATCACTGCTCAATTTCCCCCTTCAAGAATACAGTTTACTTACCAGCTTTCTCGTGCAAAAAGAGGCAAATAGCAGTGTCTGCCCTCAGGAAGCACACAGTCTAATGGCAGAGACAAGAAATGCACAATTATGTGCAAATAAACTCTACACAGCTTCTCACAAACTCTTCATAGAATTTTCTTATTGCGTCATTTAGGACACTTCTGGTGGGAAGGAATTTCACAACACTTTCTCTGCAGATTCTTTTTTTTTCCCATTTTTTTGGGGGGGGGGAAGCAATTGGGGTTAAGTGACTTGCCTAGAGTCACACAGCTAGTGAGTATCATGTGTGTGAGGGCGGATTTGAACTTGGGTCCTCCTGACTCCAGGGTCGGAGCTCTATCCACTATGCCACCTAGCTGTCCTCTCTACAGATTATTATACCTCAGTGATAGAGCACATACCTTCTCCATAATTCCATTGGGAGAAGCATTGTATAGTAAGACATTTTTCCAGCTTTTATTATTCCAACATGATTCTCATTTCAAATGTAAAGTACTTTCCTCAATGTTCCATAGGGCTCTTAAGGACTTCTTTCAAGTGTTGGCTCTGACACTCATAAAGCTTTATTTAGGGAAATACTTCTCCCTGTGTCAGTTTCCTCCTCTTAGGTAATGATGGTTGGACTAGAATTCTAGAGTCTCAGCTCTAAATGATGTGACTTTTGATGGTTTAGGAGCTGGTGACATTCCAGGATGTAGCTGTGGACTTCACTGAGGAGGAGTGGGGTCTCCTGGACCATTCTCAGAAAGAGCTGTACAAGGAGGTCATGCTGGAGAATGTCCAGAACCTGCTGTTCCTGGGTAAGGACCATTTCCTTCCTTTTCTTGGTGGTAATTATTAAGCCAAAATTAGTACAAGCAATAGAGAAGTGATTTATACTCTGCTGCATCTCAGACTCAGAAGCTTCATTGAGTGCATAGTCATCTGCATGCACCAACTCTCCATCCCCTTTGGCCTTGGCTTGTAGCCTTCTGAAGTTAAATAATTTACCATCACTCACATAGCTGACCTTGGTACCACGTTCTTCCTTGGTCTAGGTGTCTCACAAAGTCACTGAAAACATCATTCTAAAAGGAAAGGAAAAGTATTCTGGAAAAATGGCAGAATGGGACAGGAAATACTTGGCTCTCCAAGAATCTCCCCAAAACAAAGACACCTCAAAATGAATTTCGAGCAGTAGGAGTGGTTAAAAGTCCAGAAATTGTTCTCCTAAGACAACTTGACAGGACCTTGGGAAGGACCTGACCTCCCTGGGTGGAGGTTTGGCCCATTTGAAGTGCAGAGGTCTCCAGGCATATTCTGCTGGGTCAACAAACAGCAAGTCCGAGGGCACCTGGGTTGGCTTGTGGCCTCTGCTTCAGGAGCTTTTACCACAGGGACAGTGACAGTTTGTGGGGTTCAGATAGCTGAAGGAGAAGCTTGAAGGAGCCTTTGCTGTGTCTGCACACCAGGCCCAGTTGTGCTGACCAGACGTGGTCCCAGGCTGTGGATATGGCCAAGAAGGTGGGAGGCCACACCTGGTGAGTGCTGTACTACAGGGGTGAGGACCCTGATCACTGTGGGTACTTGAAGGAGAGCAGAGTCCCTGATTTCACTTTCTGGGCAGAGGAGTCAGCTGAGGTTTATGGCTGCAGACCCCAGGGAGTGGGAGCATTCAGTTTAACAATATGGCTGGGAGCCCTGTCCTTGAGTCAGAGGTATAGAGGAGGGCAGATTACAGCAACTAATCTCAAGGACAATACATTATGACCAGGTAGAGTTAATCTTCAACTCAGTAGATGAAGTAAAAACATTTGACAAACTATAACACCCATTCCTATTAAAAACACTAGAGAGCAGAAGAATAAATGAAGTCTTCCTTAAAATGATGGGTAGCATTTATCTAAAACCATCAGCAAGCATTGTATGTAGTGGGATTAAGTTAGAAGCATTTCCAATAAAATCAGGGGTAAAACAAGGATGTTCATTATCACCACTGTTATTCATTATTGTACTAGAAATGTTAGCTACAGCAATAAGAGATGAAAAAGAAATGGAAGGAATTAGAATAGGCAAAGAAGAAACAAAGCTATCACTCTTTGCAGATGATATTATGGTATACTTAGAGAATCCTAGAGAAAAACTTCACTTGAAATAATGAATAAATTTAACAAAGTTGCCTGATATAAAATAAACCACGTAAATCATTAGCATTTCTATATATGACTAATAAAGTCCTACAGCAAGAGATAGGAAATTTTATTTAAAATGACTGTAAACATTATAAAATTTCATAGCCTACCTGCCAAAACACACTTGGGAACTATATAAACAGAATTACAAAACACTTTTCACACAAATAGTCAGATCTAAATAATTGGAAAAATGCCAGTTGCTTATGGGTAGGCTGAGCTCATAATAAAAATGACAATTCTACCTAAATTACTTTACTTATTCAGTGCCATACCAATCAAGCTACCAAAAAAATTACTTTATAGAGCTAGAAAAAACTAACACAATTCATCTGGAGGAACAAAATTTACAGAATGTCAAAGGAAATAATGAAAAGAAATGCAAGGGAAGGTGGACTAGCTGTACCAGATTTTAATTATATTATAAAGCAGCAATCATCAAAACTACTTGGTGTACTGGCTTAGAAATATAATGATGCATCAGTGGAATAGGTTAGGTATGCCAGACACAATAGTCAATGGCTATAGTAATTGACTATTTGATAAATCTGAAGACTGCAACTTCTGAGATAAGACCTCACTGTTAACAAAAACTGCTGGGAAAAATGGAAAAGAGTATGGCATCTTACACCATATACCAAGATAAAGTCAAAATGGGTACATGATTTAGATATAAAGACTGATACTGTAAGTAAAGTAGGAGAGTAAGGAATAGTTTACCTATCAGGTCTATGGAGAAGAAAATAATTGGGCAAGAAGAAGTTCATGAAGTTAAAAGATACCAAGATATACTAAAACAAAACCAACAGAATGAAAAAATAGAAGAGAATGTGAAACATCTCATTAGAAGAACAAATGCTGTAAGAGTTGTACAATATAATTATATGAGAATTGTAGGACTACCTGAAAACTATGATCATTAAAAGAATCTAGATACCATATTTCAAGAAATTATTAGGGGAAGTTGCCCTAAAGTTCTAAAAATAGAAATAGGAAAAAATCTACCATGTACCCGCTAAAAGAGATCCCTAGATACAAACTTACAGGATTGTCATAGCCAAGTTTCAAACCTCCTACATTCAGGAGAAAATATTAGAACCAATAAGAAAAAAAAACAATTTAAACACTGTAGAGCTACAATCATGATAACAAGACAAAGCAGCATCTACATTTAAAGACCACAGGGTGTAGGACATTGTATTTTAGAGAGCAAGGGAGCTGAGTTGTGCCCAAAAATAACTTGCTCAGCAAGTCTGAATGTAATCCTGACAAAAGACCAGAAAAAAAGATAAAAGACCAGAACTCAATGGAAATTGGACATAGAAGATCAGGAGAAACATGGAGTAAGTATGAAGACTCGTGATGTACAATGCTAACCACATAGAGAGAAAGAGCTATGGAGTCTCAATGTAAATTGAAGTATACTGTTTTCCCTTTTTTGTTTTTTGTATTTTCTGATTCTTCTTTCACCACATGACTAGTGTGGAATTATGTTTAACATGATTGTATGTGTATCACCTATATCTGATTGCATACTATGTTGGGGAAGGGGGAAGGAAGGAGAAAAATTTGGAACTCAAAATATTACCAAAATGAATGTTGAAAACTATCTTTACATGTAATTGGGAAAAAATATTAAGTAAAAAGATAAAAAAGGGGTACATCCATGAAGTTTTATTGCATTTATGTTGGTGACGAGGAGGTCAGGAACTGCAGACATCTTCAGCAACTGTTGCTACTGTATATGTTTACATGTCTATATATGTTTGATTCTCTGTTTTCTTCAGTTGTAGAGACCAGGTTCAAAGTAAATGAGATGCCTAGAAAGCTGGGAATTTTTGTGGAAGAACGTGAGCTGCAAAGATTCATGAGTGATCATCCCTGGGACTTTAAGCTGAGAGAAATCCATGACTCTAATAAAAAGGTAGATAAAAATCCAAAGAGTGACTATGAATTTAATGAAATTGGAAAGAGATTCAGACAGTCTTCAATCCTAAATCACTGTAACAAAATGAGCTCAGGGAATGAGTGTGTTCAGGATGGAGCATATAGCAAGTGCTTTACTGATGAGACAGAGCTTTTTCAATCCCAGGGGAAGCCTCACGAAATGCCAATGTCTCCAGATAATGAAGGGGAAATGGCCTTGAGCTGGATTTCAGATCTCATTCAGATCTCACATCAGAAAAGTGATACTGGAGAAATGCTTTCTATGAGTAATAAAGGTGGGAAGGCCTTGAGTCAGAACTCTAAGCTCATTACTCATGAGCAAATTCCCATTCAAAAGGAGCCTGGGGAATATAATGAAGGTGAAAGAACCTCATGCCATCATTCATCCTTTCTTTACCAACCTGTATTTCACCTTGGAATGAAAAGATTTGCATGTTCTCAGGTTCAGAAGAACTTTGGTTGGAACTCAGATGTTGATAGATCTCAGAAGATTCATACTGGGGAGAAGTTTTATAAATGTTATTTATGTGGGAAGACTTTCTCCTACACATCACTCCTTGTTGGCCATCAGAGATTCCACAATGGAGAGAAACCTTTTGAATGTAATCAATGTGGAAAAGCTTTCAGGCACAGATCCAATCTTGCTGCACATCAGAGAATCCACACTGGAGAGAAACCTTATAAATGTAATCAGTGTGGGAAGGCCTTCTGCTCCAGATCAAGCTTCTTAGAACATCAGAGAATTCACACTGGAGAGAAACCTTACAAATGTAATAAATGTGACAAAGTTTTCCAACACAACTCTGACCTTGCTGTACACCAGAGAATTCACACCGATGAAAAACCTGATGAATATATTCAATGTGAAAAGTCTTTCAGATACCTCTCCAGTCTTGCTAAACACCAGAGAATTCACACTGGAGAGAAACTTTATGAATGTAATCAATGTGGAATGACTTTCACAAACACCTCCAGTATTGCTGCACATCAGAGAACCCACACTGGTGAGAAACCTTACGAATGTGATCAATGTGGAAAGATTTTCCGACAGAACTCCAATCTTACTACCCGTTAGAGAACCCACACTGGTGAGAAACTTTATGCATGCAATCAATGTGGAAAGACTTTCCAAAAGAGCTCCCATCTTACTGCCCATCAGAGAATTCACACTGGAGAGAAACCTTATGAATGTAATCAGTGTGGAAAGGCTTTTACAAGGAAGTCCAGTCTTGTTACACATGAGAGTATCCATACTGGAGAGAAGTCTTATAGATGTAATCAATGTGGAAAGGCTTTCACACAGAGGTCCACTCTTGCTACACATCAGAGTATCCACACTGGAGAGAAGTATTATAGATGTAATCAATGTGGAAAGACTTTCACCCAGAGGTCTGGTCTTGCTACACATCAGAGTGCCCACACTGGAGGGAAGTCTTATGTATGTAATCAGTGTGGAAAGGCTTTCAGAAGGAGGTCCACTCTTGCTGCACATCAGAAAATCCACACTGGAGAGAAGCCTTATGTATGTAATCAGTGTGGAAAGGCTTTCAAATTTAGGCAGAGTCTTGCTACCCATCTGAAAATTCACAGTGGAGAGAAGCCTTATGAATGTAATCAATGTGGAAAGGTTTTCACACTTAGCACCTATCTCAGCAAGCATCAGAGAATCCACACTGGAGAGAAGCCTTTTAAATGTAATCAATGTGGAAAGACTTTCAGATACAGCTCCAGTCTTGCTACACATAAGAGAATCCACACTGGAGAGAAGCCTTATGGATGTAAGCAATGTGGAAAGACTTTCCCACAGAGTTCTAATCTTGCTGCACATCAGAAAATCCACAATGGAGTGAAGGCTTATGGATGTAATCAATATGAAAAGGCTTTCAGACAGAGCTGCATTATTGTTAGACATCAAAACATCCACACTGAAGAGAAATTTTATTAATGTAATCAATGTGGAATGATTTCACACTGAGCTCAGATTTTGCTAAACATCGGAGAATCCACACTGAAGGCAAACCTCATGAATGTGATGAATGTGGCAGAGGTTTTAGTTACCACTCTTTGCATATGTAACAGAGAGGGCTTATGAAATTTAACAGAAACTTTATGAATATATTCTAGGTGGTGATGCCTTCAGGAAACAATCATCTCTTATTTCCCATTTCAGAATTCATGTCAGAGGGGCAGCTAGGTGGCGCAGTGGATAGAGCACTGGCCCTGAAGTCAGGAGGACCTGAGTTCATATCCAGCCTCAGACCAAACACTTGACGTGTACTAGCTGGGTGACCTTGGGCAAGTCACTTGACTCCGATTGCCTCACTAAAAAACAAACAAACAAACAGAATTCATATTAGACATATATCTGATGATCCTCATGAATGAGGAAAGGCATTCACACGGAGATCAGAGCTTCTTCAGTATTGGAGAAACCATTCTGAGGAGCAGGTCCCTGTGCACTCAGTGTGGGAAGGCTTTCAGCTAGAGATCATCTCTTACTTTCTGTCAGAGGCTTCATTGTGGAGAGAAGCCTTACACATGTTCTTAGAGGGAGATTGCTTTTCTCTGGAGGAGGGTGATCAGTAGACAACCTTATTCTTATTGGAATGAAGGTTGATAAAGGCAATAGATTTGAGAAAGGCTTTCCAAAGAGGTCATACTAAACTGTACTTTGGAGAAATCATGCTTACTTTGTTTCCTGTTGCTTCCAGAGACAAAAATTCCTTGTATCAATGTTTCAGTTACTGTTGGACATTAATTTCTTCGTTTTTTGTTTGTTTTGGTGAGGCAATTGGGGTTAAGTGACTTGCCCAAGGTCACATAGCTAGTGAGTATTATGTGTCTGAGGCTGGATTTGAACTCAGGTCCTCCTGACTCCAGGGCCAGTGCTCTATCCACTGTGCCACCTAGCTGCCCCTATTTCTGCTTTTATAGCATTTTTTTTTTTGGCCAGGCAATGGGGTTAAGTGACTTGCCCAAGGTCACACAGCTAGTGAGTATTATGTGTCTGAGGCTGGATTTGAACTCAGGTCCTCCTGACTCCAGGGCCAGTGCTCTATCCATTGCACAACCCAGCTACCCCGACATTATTTTCTTTGATGATTTTTTAAGCAGCTTTGTGGCACAGTCGATGAACTGTTGTGCTTGGAATCAAAAGCCCTGAATTCCAATTCAGTCTCTTGCACTTAATACTTTTATTTCCCTCTGCAAGTCATGGAACCTAATCCTGCCTGAGTTTTGCCCTCTGTATAATGGGGATAATAAGGGTATCCATCTCTCAGGCTTGAGGTGAGGATTAAATTGGACAATATTTGTAAAATGCTTTGCAAACATTAAATCACTGCAGAAATACTGGCTAATTTTTTTGTTATCATTCCTTGGATTGTTGAACTCATAGTAAAATCCATTGACTAAAACATATGTACAGTTTAGTCACATTTTTTAAAATTCACTTTGATATTCAGAATAGAGTAGCTTAAGCCATTACTTCTAATGAATAGAGCCCCAGGTTTAGAGTAAGTCTGGGCAAGGAACAACCTGTCCATGCCTCACTTTATTATTCATCTAGAGATGAATAAATGAGGAGGTTGGATTCAGTGGCTTTCATGGCCCTTTCCAACTCTAAGTAGATCTTCCCATCAAAAGTACATTCATATGTCTCTTTCCCACAGCTTCTTCCTATATTCCAGGAAGGGGGCCTAACAAGACCAAATCTGCAATTATCATAGACTCCTTAGAAATAAAGATCTTGAGAAACTGAAGACATCAGGTATGTAATATATGAAAGAAGATGAGTAGAGTGACCTTGTGTTCAATTCATCCAAAGACCTCCATTACACCGCTAGTATTTACTATGCACTACAAAATGATGGAAACAGTGCAAAGTGGTCTGACAGAAAATAGAAATGGATCCCACTGTAGACCAAGATGAACTCCTCATGAATACATGACTTAGAAAAGGTCACCACAAAGGAATCAGAGGAATCAGGAGGAAAATCTATTTATGTATAGTGGAAGAACTCATCTCAACACAAGCGTTAGAAATTATCACAAAAGCTTAAATGGCCAGTTTCCATCCCATAAAAACCCACAATGCATCTAAAATTTAAAGGGAAGCAATTAACTGGGAAACACATTTGCAGCAGGTTTCCTACATAAGGGCTTCATGTCCACCTTCTATAAAGAACACATACTTGTTCTGTACAAGCACATAAAGAATGATTGCAATAGATACGGTCCAAAATTGTGAATAGCCAATTTTCAAAGGAAGGAATGCCAATTATCAATTATTATAAGAAAAAACTCTGCATTGCAAACCAGTTTGTCCCCCTTTCCAAACCAGCTCGAGCCCCCCCTTACCTGAGAAAGGCCTAAAATCTGGATTGACCAACCAGGAGAAAGACATTTTTAGCCCATTCTGAACTTAACCTACCATCATACTTTGCATGCTCTGGCATAACAGACATGCTTTGCTTTGCTCTCTGTGTGGACCCAAACTTTCCTGAGGGATTTTGCTGACTTGGAACATTCTTCTGCTCAGGACCAGGCCCACTGGACATTTCTCTTACCTCCTTGTTTATGGCTCCCTCTTTTTACCTACTGTCTTGAGCAATGGTTTCCCTCTTTCTTGTTGTCTATGAGCACTGTTACATTTATAATAGAAGAAAGACAGACATCCTGGAATTAGAATTTCAGTAGACACTTTGGTACCTTTGTTATTATTTCACAAATCTATCTTAACAGGAAATTCCTTTCTCATATTATGGTTAAACATGTGGAGACTGTAATTTTGGATGGCACGGCCATCCTGAATCAGGAAGGGAAAGGGATTGCTCTAAGGGAATAAAAGTCTCCTTTAGCTAACTTTTCCTTGAGATCAGAATTAATCTGACCTCCCATGCAGGTATGATTCTCTGGCTTAAAGAAAATAAATAAGCACTTACAGCACATGTATCACCTGATTCTGTTTGTTCTTTGAATAAACCTTTGTTAAATGGCAAAATTGATTCTGTTTGTTTCTTTAGACCAAACCTCTGATACTGGTTGTCAACATCTATAATCATTAATCCAAATCACTAATAATTAGACAGATTTTCAGATTGGTAAAGGTGGTCAAGAAATGAGCATCACAAATACTGCAGGGAATTGTTTTCCTTAAGTGTGTACTTCTTACAAGAGTTTTCTATTTTTCCTTTTCCTGTCACAGAGGGGAGATCAATCGAGGAGAAAATAAATGTAACTTTTTTTAAAAAGCCTAAGTAAAAATCACCCCAATCAATAATTAAACACAAATTAAATCAACTGTCAGTTCCCACTTCTCCCCCACACAAGTGAAAAGAATGAAACGGAAAAAAAAAATAGAAGTGTAGGAAGGATTATGGGAAAACCCACACATCAGTTTCCTGTTGAAGCTGTGAAGTTCCCCCCAGATCACCAAATCTTTGACTCAGTGATACCACTAGAGGGCATGTATCTTTCAAGATAGGAAATGAACCCAAGCGTACAAAAATGTTGACACCAGCTCATTTTGGCATTATGAAGACCTAGAAAGAAAAATGTGACGTCGTATAATAAGTAGGGCAAAAACCGAACAAAGTTTGGGAATGTTAATGTTATAGAACAATACCATAACATAAAACCCAGGCAATTTATGGACTAATGCAGACTATAGGGAGTAATCGATAATAACAACAACATTGTGAAGCCAACGACTTAGCAACATGTCCCGCTTCTTCTTATTGTAATGATTAACCAGTGTATCAGAGACTTATCAAGATCTGTGCAACCTGACTGTTGCCAAGGAGCGAGGGATACAAGTTGTAAAATAAAAAGCACATTTTGAGAACTGGACAGAGCCAGCAATTTATGTTCCTTGATTATGTAATGAAACATTACAAATATTCTGTTGGTTGATTTTTTTTCAGTGTTGGGTATGACAGGATAGCAGTGGGACGGGTGCTAGCAATAGGATTGTCCTGGCCCTGATCCTCCCCACCCCAAAGTAATAAGGAAATTGATGTCTTGAAATGATACATGCAGTAGAACAGAAGGAAGGAGAAAGCTTACAAAGTATTATTTTGAATTCATTATTACTCAAAAAGAAAGTCCAGCTATGCACAGTTATTTCACGTATAATCCTCTTTTTCTATTTTATGGCGTATAAAAATATTCATTTTATTTTGTGTTTGTGAATTTCAAAGTTTAAAAAAAATCAAACAGATGATTTCCTGTGTGTCATCTTCACTAGTTTTGGAGGCATGACGAGAAGTGGTAAAAGCATTGTCATGACTGTCTTTTTTTATCAGTGCTTTGGAGCATGTCTTCATGCGTCATTTATGGTTGTCAGGACTTTGGAAAACTTCCTGTCCTTTCAGCGCTCATCTCTTGGCACCGGTTCCTTGGTATACATGGATGTCAATTCTCTCCCTATCATGGATATAAGTTTCTTTTTGGAGTAATTTATTAGGCAATATTTGATATATTCGGCATGCTACATTTTGTCTTCTCATTTCGTCTTTCTTTCGTTAAGACATTTAAATTGTATGTAATTAGAATTATCTATTTTAAAAATGTTTATCTTGGGTCAAGAATTCTCATAGCCACAGTTGTGAAATTACCTGAGTGTTTACTTTCATTTTTAAAAAATATTTTTCAGGGGCGGCTAGGTTGCACAGTGCATAGAGCACCTGCCCTGAAGTCAGGAGGACTGGAGTTCAAATCTGACCTCAGATCAAACACTTGACACTTATTAGCTCTGTGACCCTGGGCAAGTCCCTTAACCCCAATTGCCTAAGAGGAGAAAAGAAAAACAATTTTTTATCAGGAAAAAATTCTATATACTTCTACCACCTATCTCAAATTGAGAAAGAAAAGAAAACCCCATTACAAAAATGTATAAGCAAGGGCAACATTCCTCTATTGTCTACTCCAAAAACGTATTTGTAGAAGTTCCATATGGTGTTGGGAAATATGTATATTCTTGAGCAGTTCCCATTCAGAAGACTCCATAAGACTTTTTGCTTTAGTCTTTCTGGCATCCCGCTCAGGTCTACTTTGTTTTTCTTATCTTTATGTAAGACTTATCCAGAATTGATAGGAATATTAAAGCATTGTCACTTTTCTGGTACTGCTCTTCTTATACTTCAATTATTGTTTTCTTTATAAATGGAAATGTTAAGACATTTGGAGCCTAGCATTTTACTATTGATGTTGGTTGGTTATCTGTAAATCCTTTTATTAGGAAGTAGTGTCCTTGCTTATCTCTTTTCCATGTTTTTAATGATTGTTTTTGCTGAGTCTGGTAGCTTGATTGGAAGTCGTACTTGTGAAGAATGAAAGAGTTAAGTTTCCACATAAGTCGATAAGAAATCAGCACAGACAGGCTAACTTCTCAGTCCAAGGGGGGAGTGACAACCCAATTCTAGGCACATAATATATGTTAGGGGTGGGGCATATAAGGAAGATTGTAACCCAGAAGGATTAGGACCAATCCTGATCCAGAAGAGAGAAGTTAGGTGGTTACTAACTATAAAACTTGCTCTGGCTTCTTTTACCAGGTGCATTTCTCTCCTTCCGAGGAGATGCACCCGCTTCTGGCTAAAATTGAAAGGACGCACTTCAACCTCTTTAATAAAAAGTCTTTGAGACACCAGTCTTCGGAACTGAGTCTGGGGTCTTCTTTACAACATGCTTTGTTGGATTCACCTAACAAGTAGCACACTATTTATCAGACCATCATTTTTATTCTGTGTCTGTCTTTGTTTTTTAAATGTTTTTAAAAGTTTTTCATGTAAACAATAGACTATAGAGTTTTGTTTTCTTCACTCGTTCCTTTTTTTTTTTCATTTTATTTTTGCCTAAATTTAGGAGTTAGGTTTTCATCTCCATCTCATTCCCACATGTTAAAATCTTTCCTTAGATTCAGATTTCTGCTTATTCATCCCTTTTTATTGTTTATCTTATCTAAGTTTTAATTCTTCCTCCTCTTCTCCTCAGTTAATTGTTAAGTAGAATACCCTTTCCTGTTTTCTCCTTCAAATTTTTTCTTTTAATTTCATTATCTCTTTTTCTTGAAAAAATTTTTACCTGTTTCTCTTAATTTGTCTTTTCTTTCTGACTATCCAACCTTTTCTTTTTGCATTCATGTCTCTTACACTGAGCTAGTCCTTTATTTTCTGTATTCCTCATGGAATTAATACTTTCCAGGTATGTATTGTGGCTTCCTTCTTCTCAACAGTTTCTGCTATTGCCTTGGAGATCAATTCCCTCGGCCCCCATTTTTCTGTTATTCCTCATTCTCCAAAATAGGAGTTCTTGCAGGTGAGAGAATAGGTCCCCTTTATGTTGATCCTCTTATGCTCTATTGTTTCATCTATTACTGACTGTGTCCCTCCTCATGGTCATCTTTTTCACTTACATCAATGCCTCTTTCATGGGTCCATGCTCTTCTATTCTTCTGAGGCTCAGTTGCTCTGATTTCCACATGTTGGAATACTGGCTGCATAAAGAATTCCCTCTTATGGGACCAAGCAAACAAAATGCCTGTATGTGCCACCTACACTCATAAGACCTATCCAGGAACTTCACTGGATTGACTTAACTCACTTAATAGGCTTTGGGGGAAAAAAACCTAAGCTGAAGGTGATAGAACTCTCCAGGTCTAAAGTACAATCCTCCCCATATCACTTCCACTCAGTAAATTCCAGTGGTTTCCATAATATTTGTGAACAATTACAGATGCCTCTGTTTGCTGTTTCAAAGCTCCTCAGAACCTGGCCCCAGTTACCTCTCCAAAGTGGTCACACACAGCTCCTCCTCACCCAGCCCAAGCAGCCAACCTGCCTTTGGGCTCCTCCTTTGTGATGCTCCATCCCGGGCTTTGTCTCTAGGCTGGCCTTTCCCATGGTTAGAAAGCCATCCCTCTCTTGGAATCCCTGAGTTTCCTTGAAAACCTCTAAAACAGTTTTAATTCTCAACTGAGCAGTAAAATTTATGACCAAGCCAAGCAGATATGTGTTCTCATGTTCTCTCTCTCTCTTTCTCTCTCTCTGTCCCTCTCTCCCTCTTCCTCTTCCTCTCTCCTTCTCTCTCCTAATTTTTCATCCCCAAATTTTCCCTTTCTTCTCCAGTTGAGGTAACAAGAACCAAGGTGACTCTATGCCCTAACACCTGATTTCCCAGCCTAGTAATTTTTTCTGCCTTTGACCCTCTCCCTACCCACGACTCCACAAAGCAAGATAAGGCCCTGCAGGGCTGCAAATGTCGTTACTTTTCTTTAAAAAAAATGTATTGTCGAAAGGATCATTAAGGATTCTGTGCTGGGGTATTGAGCGCCTCCTCCAAGCAACCACAGCAATCCTGCACTCAGTTCTTCTTTGTCCTCCTTCCTAATTTCCTGCTATCCTCATGCCCCAGGACCAGCATGTCCTGCTTTCTGCACCTCTCCCCTTCCCATTAGAACTCAGGTTTTGAGGGGGTGAAGAGATAAATAGTGGGACCTCCCAGTGGATGGAATTCAATTGCTTATTCAGGTAAGAGTCAAACCCCTACACATACAGGGAGATGTGAAGGTTTGTATAAGTGGATAAACAAAGTTTATAACATATGCCCTGGGTCCAGGTGTCCTCATATCCAGGCCTCAGCTCCTCATTAGGAGCCAGCTGTCTTTCAGTGAGAGAAGATCTCTTAGGAAATAAAAACAAAAGAGAGGGAAACATCCCATCATTGATAGGATTGGAGTATAGAAGGTCAAGAATGGAGAGGGGTCTCCAGTTTGGAGGAAAGTTAATTAGGGGTGGGCAAGTCTGGGTCCAAGCTGCAGAGAAGAAAAGAGGGCCTGGGGGGAGTGAATTAGGGGAGCGAAATGGCTGGGAGAAGCAGGAGGGATGTAGGCTGGGCATGTCCTTGTGGGGAAGAAGATGAGCAGGGAGAGCTGGAAGACTGGGAGGGTCTGCTGAGGAGGTTTGGAGTCTCATAGCAGGAAAAGGCAGGGAGGGAGAGAGGTGGTTGAGCAATGGGGGAGGGGAGCTCAGAGATGACCAGCCAGGTGGGTGGTGGCCCAGGTGGAATTCTATCCCTGGGGTGAAGTTTGGAAGCCTGGGAGAGGAGGGCAGAGGAGGAGAGAGGTCCTTCTAGAAGATGCTGTATAGGGCAGGGTCGGGGTCTAGTGGTTAGGAGAACTTTCCCAGAGCAGGTTGTCTGGAAGCAGAAACACTAGGAGCTGAGATCTCTCTTCCTTCTGGGAGCCAGCTCTGCACATGCAGGTGACAGGTAGGTCTGAACAAGGGCTCTTCCCCAGCCCCCACTTCCACCGGCTGCCCTTTCCATTGGGCCTCATCTGCCCCCTCTGACCTCTTGGTGGCTGTCCTCCAGCCTTGCCGGGAGCAGGTCTCCCTCCAAGGCCTGGCTCATAGGGTTGCCCATGCTACTCGTCCAGGATCCCTGTCACATCCCAAAGGTTCTAGGGCACCATTCCCAATTTTACCATTGGGTCACAGTTGCCTGACCTACATATCTCACCCATAGTCTCATCCCATCTGGGATCCTAAGACCCTTCTGCCTCCTGGGTCTCTGGAGGAGGATGGGGGAGGGGTATGAGGCCAAAGAGAAGGAGTTAAAGTAGGTGGCAAGTCCTCTTTCTGTTCAGACCAAGCTCACTTCTCAGCCTGACCCTCCCTGCTACCCTCCTCCTATGGTGGAGTCTCTCTCCAGAGAGCAGGTCCTGGGACTTGTACCTGCTCTGAGACTATAAAGTCTACAATTCCAGGTAGACCATGGTCTCCCCCACGCTGTGATCCTTCTCCCTTGCCAGGTCAGCTTGCAGATGACCAAAGCCTCTTCCTAGGAGAGAGCCTAGAACCAGAGAGCATGGCCCCTGGGACCCAGAGCCCCTCATCCCAGGTGAGTGCAGTCCATCCACAGACCTGACCACATCAGCAAACCTGGAAGCCAAGAGAGCCAAGGAAGCTTTATCCTGTTAGACGCAGGTTGGCCTTTGCGGTGCTGTGGGCAGAGCAGAAATTGTCCTGGTTCTGCTCATGTCCTCCTGCCTCAGGCCACACAAGCCTTCCCAGGTCTCTCTGAATCCCTTTCATTTGCCATTTCTTAGGTTGTCAAGAAGCATTTAGAAAATGGTTCCTCTGTGCCAAGCACTGTGCTGATCTACTGGGGTGCCAAGGAAGGTTTAAAATTAACAGTCCCTGCCCTCCAGGAGCTCACAGTGTAATTAGGGGAGAATATCTCATTAGCTATGTCCACACAAGCTCTGTACAGTGTGGATGGGAGGCACCCTGAGAGGGAAGGCTCTGGCAACTTCAGGGACCAGGAAAGGTCTGTTTTCAGAAGGTGAGATTTTAGCTGAGATGAGAAGGAAGCCAGGAGGCCCAGGGAAGGGGGAGGGCATTCTAAGTATGAGAGACAGTCATTGGGAAGGCAAAGGGTCAGGGATGGAGGGTGTGGTCCAGGATCAGCCAGGA